TGGATTCATGCTTTTTGTGCTCATCATCTTCTCTCCTTCGGTGCTCGGACTTTTCGTGCTCGACGGGAACTTGGTGCTCATTGTGGATCCTTGCTTTTCTTTGGTGCACGACCACATGTTCATCGCGGATCGTGCTTTTGGTCACCTGCTCATCGTGGATCCGTGCTTTTGGTCACCTGCTCATCGTGGATCCGTGCTTTTGGTCACCTGCTCATCGTGGATCCGTGCGGGAATTTTGGTGCATGATAACGTGCTCATCTTTGATCCGTGCTTTTGGTGCTCGGTGCTCATCGTGGATACGTGCTTTTCATGCTCATCGTTGATCCGTGCTTTTCGTGCTCATCGTGGATACATGCTTTTCATGCTCATCGTCGATCCGTCCTTTTTTCATGCTCATCATTGATCCGTGCTTTTCGTGCTCATCGTTGATACATGCTTTTCGTGCTCACCTACACTACTATAAAAACTGCCCCATTGGCCCTCCCTCCTTCCTCCCTTTCTCCCTCCGCCCATCACTATCACCATCCCTCCTCCCTCGGCCTGTCCTCCATGCCTGCCTCGCTCACTCGGCCAGTCCTCCATTCCTTCCTCCCTCCTCCCTCGGCCCGTCCTCCATTCCAGAGAGAGAGAGAGAGAGAGAGAGAGAGAGAGAGAGAGAGAGAGAGAGAGAGAGAGAGAGAGAGAGAGAGACAGCAGAGGCACCATCACCATCCTTCCTCCGTCGGCCCATCCTCCATTCCTGCCTCGACCCTCTCTCCTCCCTTCCTCACTCCTGCCCCATCGGCCCTCCCTCCTTCCTCTCTTTCTCCTTCCTTCTTCCCTCACTCGCTTTCTCCGTCCTTCCTCCGGTGGCGTTACCTTCCTCGGCACTCCGTCCTCCCTCTCTTCTTGCTCTCTTACCTGGGGACGATATAGAGAGTGCATTTCGTTTTTCTTATTTTTCTCAATTTGCGATAAGGGTGAGCGCGTGCGGTCGCACACAGACGCACACAGGGAGGCGTGGAGAGAGAGAGAAAGAGAGAGAGAGAGAGAGAGAGAGAGAGAGAGAGAGAGAGAGAGAGAGAGAGAGAGAGAGAGAGAGAGAGAGAGAGAGAG